AAGAATTTTACGAATTAAAAAAATTACAGAAAATTGTAATAGATGTTATTTGATTTAAATTAAGTGAACTACAGCGTGTGTTATTTTAGCGCACATACAACTCCACTGCGTACACACGGGCTCTAAGGCTCAACCAGCCTCCTATCCAATGGGTATGGGTTCGGCTCTTTCCCCCGGGGGTAAAGCGGCCGAGGCGTGAAGATAACAACTCACCTCTATCTAGCGCCCAGCTAGATAGAGGTGATCGAGGTATATCTCCACACCACAATATGTCTTCATAGCATAGTGTTTAACTAATTTAGTAAAGGTATCACTTTACCAATTGGGGGGAGAGGCGGTGTAATTTACATTTACATCCACCGTTGACAAAGTAAAGGCCTGACAACGTGAAAGCAAAACTAACCATTTCCTGGAATACTATGAAAGGAAATCTTACCAACCCTACCACATATCCATGTGACACTATCGTAAATGCTTATCGTTAGCCGCACGACTCGGCCGGAATTAAAATAACTTTGTTGACGACTGCAGATGGGGATGTCCAGGCACGAGTGGCTGCTGCTGTCGGTCTTAAATTGCAAAAACCACACCCAAGTTAAAATCTAGGAAATGTGAAAGAACACAAACCGTGGCCTTTAATGTTTTACGATTTTCGAACCACTTCAGGTTCTATGTCTCCAGTATACAGGTCCGACCGGCCCTAACTATTTGCACGCCTATACACATCTACAATGCTCGTGTATCTTGTCTTGCAGTTTTCATGTCACATGCAAGTGTTTTCCGGGACAAAAAAGAATATGGCTTATCAATGCAGCGGTAATAAAAATAAATCGAGAATATCCACGGTAAATTTTAATGACAAAAAAAATGGCGAATAATTATTTCTTCATCAATGTTAATAAGGCACGAGTGTTTAATGTAGAATGCCACGGTAGCTGTTCGCAAAAACTGTAATGGCACACATTTCATGACCATGTATAAAGACTACATAATTAAATCATCCAGACAACAGTGAAATAAGCAGAAACAAAGTTGAGGAACTGAAACATCATTTAAGATCGCGTCAAGAAATGTTTTCTAAAACTAGGCCTACAGTTGCCACGGCTTCCAATGAAATTACATAAATAATGTCTAATGTTATTATCCAATCTTAAGTTGTGGGAGGCGATTCAACCATTTAGTGAATTTAATGATTTGATGATACATCACTCAGTGACATTTCACAGTCACAGAGAATTGAGATCCAGTGTGTCTCCAAAGTTATTGCACGATTTTCAAAATTTGCTACTTTTTTAAATTTCATGTCGTCAACGTGATAAAAAATGAAAGAAATAAGATTAACGATTAATCTATCTACTGTGAATTTCAAGCAGTGGTGTTGATTCAAATTATGTCACGTCACTGTAACTTTCAGAGGAACATAATACCCCTAATTTAAGCATGACTCTAACCGAGAACTGAAGGGGAAGTATGATGCTCCAGAACACTATATGGTATCACAACCTGGAGGACCACAATGTAGGACCCAATCACATATCTGCACACATTCCAGTTTGTATTCCAGCTTTTGCCACATCCTACTGAAAACATATCTGCCTTCTGTTCTCCACATTCCAAATCACATATTTTCACTTTCTACACCACCCGTTTCAATGCGTTGATGTGCAAAAATTAACGTGTTCAATGTTTCAAATCTTCGCTGGAAAATTAACATTTTTGAAAGCATTTCCCACGACAGCAGAATGAAAGAAAATGTATGAAACATCTGCAATTTTGGGGTTTAGAACGACACTAGACTTTTATCTGTAAGACTATGTAAAACAAAAATAATCAGCATACAAATCATTACACTGATTACCAGAAGTGAACAAAAAAAGTACTGTTTCATTTGTATCTCCACATTTGATTCAAGTGCTGCAAGCAATGTACTATTGATGAGATTAATGTGATGAATGGGCATCAACTGTACTTTAATGAGATGTGATGTTATATAATTTGGCAGACAGGTAATACCATTTTGGAGGAAGCTGTGTCTCCATCTTTAGGGCAGTAAANGGGGATATAAATACGGGGACCTGGCCCTCCAGATTGCGGAAGTCTCGAATGTGAGACAGTAAAACATGTCACGAGTCCCGAGGTAATTGGACCCGAGAATGAGTGCGCTGGCCAGGACCAGCAGCAATTGTAAACGACAGATCCATCCTCTCGTCAGAGAGGATGCTATATAAGGTCCATAACCGCAAGTGTTCAGCTGGAAAATAAAATTGCTGGTCGTGAGTTTCAAGGGGCTTGTCGCCAAGACGAACCGTTTTCAGGTAAACCGCCAGTCGTAAAGTAACTATGGCTCTGCCTCTACGAGAAGCCTTGAGACGAGAGTCAGAAGAGTAGGACGTCAGTCCGGTAGCAGAAGAACGTCCGCTGCTGGAAGACGTAACCAAGCAACGCAGTGAAGAGCGTTGACTGACAAGACAGTGTGTGACAGTGATTTGTTAAATTAAATCACGAGTTAATTAAGTGTCCAACAAATCCGATTACCAATCCAAAATCCGTCTATAGTCACTCAGTCACGTGACAACAGTAATGCCAAAGTAGAGACCGTCATTAACGGAAAAAACATACAAATGACTGCACAAAAGCGGCTCGCACATAGCTGCAGTGACAAGTATCGCACTGAATTACATAACTTAGTTCGGTTGGACCGTTTTCATAGGGAAACATCACATACTCATACAGAATTTTCTTGAATAAAGCAAAGAAAATTATACGATTTACTAAACCAGTTTGATCTCTGTTAATCTACGGTTTTCACATAAGATTCGATGTTTTCACGGCGAATAAATGCGATAACATTTTCTCGAGCAATCAACCGTGTCAATGTTGCACTGTCATCAGGTTCGATGCGGAGNCTGACAACAGTAATGCCACAGTAGAGACAGTCATTAACGGAAAAAAAAACATACAAATGACTGCACAAAAGCGGCTCGCACATAGCTCCAGAGATGCAGTGACAAGTATCGCACTGAATTACATAACTTAGTTCGGTTGGACCGTTTTCATAGGAAAACATCACATACTCATACAGAATTTTCTTGAATAAAGCAGAGAAAATTATACGATTTACTACACCAGTTTGATCTCTGTTAATCTACGGTTTTCACATAAGATTTGAAGTTTTCACGGCGAATAAATGCGATAACATTTTCTCGACCAATCAACCGTGTCAATGTTGCACTGTCATCAGGTTCGATGCGGAGAAGGTTGTCAAATCGATGCCTCTTCCTACTTGGACAAACTGGTATAAGTGTCAGCGATATACGGTCATTCACCACGTCGACCCTGATGAGGGAAACGGAGGAATTTTCGAAACGTTCGTTTTTAGTTCAACATCAACATGGCCGATCGGCCGAGAAAATCTTAGAGCGCCGTTTGCATGTTTCTGATTAATATTCTATGGGGTTTCTTGCGAAAACCTTTACGATAAAAACAAAATTAATACCTGAATCAGCTATCGTTTGGTCTGTTTCCCTTCAAATCTTACATTACGAAAATTCCATACATACATTCCATGCTTTACGCACTGAACTTCATGTTGTCCGCACACAGACAAAATTTTATCGAATTTACTACAACAACAAAAAAAGTCTGGAAAGCCTAACCTAGACTACAAGTATCGAATGAAAGGAGCAGTGTCGAATAATGAACTAGAAAGTGTTTAGAAGGAAGTGGCAGTCGCCTAATGGCGGTGCGATCCCGGCATGTCCGGAGGGGCTACAAAAAAAAGAAACACGAAAACCTAACTGAGGACAGTCGGTGTTCCAAGTGACATTCGAACCGAGCACCTACCAAACAAGAGTCTACAAACCTGCTAAGTTTATACGTCACTCGATGTTCATGACACTAATACAAATCAATAAACGGCGCGAATAATGAATAGCTCAACACTTTCCAATCCCGTTTATTTTCAGCCTCACTACTGTACCAACTACAAATTAACGAGTGAAAATTTAAAAACTGACACTTTGTATGGAAAAATATTCAATCATGACAACCACTAGAAGGTAAAGGCGAAGCTATCCCTGTAACAGACAGTGGAGGCCCATAGGGTTGTGAGACGTCGAGGCTCACAGAAGGCGGTCCGGTTGTAAGCCTTACGCGCCGTCAACCTTTGTCCCGAGAAAGATTTCTGGTACTCATTTCTGTTAAGATGCTGAGTTGATCCCAGGGGCATTGTGCGGCTGGAAGGATTAGGTCAATTGAAAAATCCAATAACATAATTGTAAATCGAACCCGCGACCTTCCGGCTTGTAGCATAGTGCCACAACCAACTGAGTTACCGCGCGCCCCAATCAACCACTAGAAGAGGAAGAACAGTGAGATAAAGTATTTGAAAACAAAAAGAAGAAAGGAAAGAACTGGACGAGCAGCACGCGCTCATAACGTGGAGGTGTCCCTGTGTGGTGGCTGGAAGCTGAGGACAGTGGATTTCTGTAGAGAAATTGTGATGTTGGAAGCCTTCCATCGGGGGACAGGGAAGAATTAATGAACAACATAAAAGGAAGAAACCACAGCACATTCATACCCCAATAATCCACCCACGAAATTAAAGTTCTGAAATCACATGTCGGATTACCACAAGAACGGTCGACCGATAACATACAGCAAGAACCTAAATTATGTAATAAGGGTTGCGACTCAGCAATCTTTGGTTTCGGTGTAACATGCCTATCCTGAGAGTAGTGATAAAATTTTTATGTTGATATGTGAAGTGTAGTATAAAGTGTACTACTGACTGTGTTATTCGTGGGAGATGTTAAATATCAGCATCGACGGATCATTCGATAACAAGTGGAACTGAAATGAAATATGGCAGAACGCAGGGAGAAGTTAAAAGCACGAAAGCGTATACATCAAATTACGAGACTTCCCCCTCACACTAGTTCCCTATAAAAACCTATGAATACAAGATGGAATTTGGCCAAATGTTGTCTGTGAAACTTTACCTTGACATCAATGGCATCCCCAAATTTGACCACGTTGAAGCCACCGTTGGGGAGATGCACTTTAAGCGTGGCTTTATCTAGGCGGTCGGGGCTCCCTGTGGCTGGCGGGGTGCCACAGCGGCCCTCTGGAGGGTTCATACCACCAGGCTGTAGTTGCTGCTGCGTCTGCTGTTGGGGGTGGTGATGAGGCACTCCCTCATGTCTGTAAACATAAAATGGCGGCCTATGATCACAATATTCACACGCGTATTTAGAGTTTTAGGGCTGGTGTCAGAACAGTGAGACAGCATGTCAAGAAGTGAAGAAATTACAAAATCTGAGCCACGAAGTGGAACAGCTGTAACTTACTTCAAAATCCAATTTTTATAGTCATCTGAAAGGGCTGAAAAACGAAAATGTCATCTAGCATCTGGCTAGATTTGAAAATGGTAGGTACGGAACAAGGAGGAAAATATTAATCACTACAACAAACTGATAAGCCTTAAGGCAGAACCTCATAAGAGACATGGTAAAGTATATCTTCCCTACAAACGAGTGGATGTCATACCTGTGTTATGGAAGAAAAGTCCTGTATAACGATATTTGAACCTCACACAGCCACATGAACACTGGAAGTGCGTTGAAAACATAATACAGTAACTTTTTAATGATAAGCAATGGTCTATGACGCAACCCCGTTCCAAAGGCAGATGGAGTACAGTTATGTACGAGAAATGTACAGACTAGACCATCCATTACTAAACAAACTAACGTTCAACTGATACTTGATACCAGCAATATTGCAGAATTACTACAGCTACCCACGGTCGTGCCACACAGTTCAGGCGGTTAACTGCCGGCTTCGTAACACGGCGGCCCAGATTCGATCCCAGGTCAGGTCACGTGGTATTTATGGGAGACAAAGCATGCTTTCTCACAATGCTTTAGTTTCTCCTACCAATTTTCATTCCATGTAGTTACGACTAGTGAATATCCAATAAACTGACCCACCGATTGAAATCCGCGTCTTGGTCACTAATACACGAGAGAATATACTGATATTTCCGTCGACACATCAAATCTACGAAATAATTCTGCGTTTGCTTGGGTTAAATACAATTTCGCTACAGATTTCGGCTTCTCATGAAGCCATCTTAGGAGATACAAACTTCAATTACTGCGTTTGTAACTTGTATATGGATCCATATAGTACAATTTCGTTCATTATATGATCGATTTCTAACGTTTTTATGCGCAGTATTGCTTTTATAATGTTATGTAGGGATGCACTATTTACAATATCTTAATATTAACTTCAAGATTACTTTAAACTAAAATAAGCTAATTAAAGTTTAAAATTTTAAGAAACTATAAATTAGTGCACGTGTGTTTATATATCTGTGTTGCGCAAATTTTCTACGTTAATGCGTCATGTTGTGTGTGGATCCTTCCCTCACGACTCCCTACACAAGTTATGACGTACTGTAGTTCACAGTGTAGATGGACACTTGGTATATGACCTTAAGAGTTAAAGTTGGATCAGTCTGGGTTTTTCAGCAGTGGGTGTACCACTCAGGGTCATCTGCTTTGTATGTGAATTCTTGTGCACAATAAAGAAACACTGCCATTAGTGTTATACTCCGCGCGCCAGGGAAGTTATGAGCCACAACAAGTGTACTGAGCAGCTTATGACCTGTTCTGTAAGACATCTCCATGCCATTGCGGTATGCGGTACGAGGGAGAGTCAGTAAATGGGTCACAAAGTAATATAAAATGTAAAACGTATGATACTCGAACACGGGGGAAAAAATTGATTTCTCGACATAACCATTGATACACTTGTCCCATCGCTTTACAGTGCGCCCAAGCTCGCAGCACAAAAGTCCTTTGATTGTTGCCTCAGCCACTTCCGCACCTCCGTTTCAACTTCGCCATCGCTAAAACGTTTACCACTCAGTCATGAACCGCTTTACGCGAGAAAATATTTCCTTCCGTGAACAGGAAACATTTTTTATTAATGTCTTTAGTATAGAGTCATTTGCCCTCACAAAAGCTCAACAGAACGCTGCTCTTCGGCAATACACTCCTAAAGCACGGTCGCCATTTTGACTACTGAAACCATCCTGTGAACGAACACGCGCAAGCACGTCTGCTACCTAGACTGTCATGAAACTGAACTATGCTGCTATCTAGTGATAAACACAGGAAACCAATTACGTCCATTACACTTGTGTTTTTCCTTCTGTGGCCTACTCGAATGTTTTCTTGCACAGTTCAACTTAGCACATACTGTGTACATTGTGTGAGACTCGAAATTAATGTACTCTTTGGCCAAATGCATACATTTCAGCGCTACTAAGTACGTTAGATTTAATGTTCTCACAGCCAGGACTCTGAAAAGCTGAATTTTCAAGGGTGTTACTCCGTGCAGTCCACTATAAATTCATCATAGTTTCGGAGAAACATAATGCTTCCACCTTCAGGTTGAAAGCGCATCAACGAGGGAGTATTAGTAGCACTTGCTGCTCCACTCTGCTACTTAACTTTTTTCCTGGGGGCCTTTTTTGAACCCTGCAGTTGGAAACTTCAAAACATCCATAAACTTTTATCTGAATATACGGCATGACGTCCCATACGATGTACGTTTTAACAGTCAATTTAGTTTCATTCTACTTAAAACAGATTCTTTCTCCGTCGAGGTCACAGAAACAAGTTTCACCATCATTTTTTTTTTTGTAGAAGCGAGATTCAAAGCTTCAGAGTTGCCGTCCGTTTAGATCACTGTAGCTAATCCGGTTACAGTTAACCCGGAAAGGATTATGAAAAACGCTGCTCACAGTTGAGTACATAATGCAAAGACACATGGGATTTAGGAAGGCAGATTAGTAACTTGTCCGTTCAGACAGAACTTGAGACAATTTCTTCAAACTTGGATTATTACGTTCAAAAGCAAGTACAATTTCCAAGTCTTCTATCGACGATAAATGTATTGTCTTTTTTTTTCTGTTTTTAAATAATGGCTCTACAATGATATTTTATTTAATTTCATCATTACTATTTATATCATTAAATTTTCCTTTTGAGTTCTTTGTCTTTCAGGGCTACCTTTTGCTTAAACAACCCAAATCATCGCTTCATCCGGATGACCTCTCCACCTTCCTCAATTAATCCGGATTAGCGAGGGTTTACTGTAAGCGCAAAGTCAGCATTCACTTGTCTCTGAGATGGTACAAATGACATGAAACTTGAAAATGAAATCCAAGTTTGCAAGTAACCTCCATGTAAATACTGATATAATTCAACAGGCAGCGTACAAGAAGTGACCGATGGGGTGGCTGTAGAGTACAACAGACCAATGATGCACTACAAGGGCAATCCAAAATTTCGAGTATGCTTCAGGGTGAGTCACACGAAGGCTGGCCCGAATTAATAATTACAAATCACGGCTATCGTTTACCGACGAAGATTAAACTTGGAGGGTACATAATGTGGTAATGCGGAGATAATACGGGGTTGCAGGCGAAGCTCAAATCGGTTTCTCTCTGCCTGGAGACACAGGCCAATACAGCTCTCCATGCTGCCGTCAGTATGTCACGTGCGGTGATACGGAATCACAGACACAATGGTGCGAACCGGGCAGACACCGCACAGAATCACTGTTGCAAAATACACACTTCTGCCAAGTTTCCCTTCCATCAGTAATCAGTGCGCGATATAATCATTATTTCGGGGCTTCCCTTACGAGCCCGCCGGCCACCCTTTACATCCCAGGAAGATTTATCATACTCATTTCTGTGAGAGACAGAGTCGACGCAGCCTCAACCAACTAAGCTACCGCGTATTGTCCCTGAATCTAAAATGCAGACTTACCTAAGAACAATACCATTCATTACATAGCACTTGCACAGAGGCCTGACACATCAGCTTGAGAGCCAGCATTTCTCAGTTTATCCATATATTGTGTTCTGTATCCTATTACATCTAAAACAAGGCTTACATCTAAAACAAGGCAAGGGCTGTAGAGCCTGATTATAATTACTAATACCCATCACAGTGGTCCCCGCGGTCTAAGGCACGAACCGTCTTCGTCCGCTCGAACATTGGGATCCTGGGTTCGAATCCTTCTCGAGGCATAAATATCTGTGTGGTTTTATCCTGTGTGTAGGCAGCGGCCTTGTGATCGGCTGATTCCCCGTCCAAGGAGTCCTACCGATTGCGTACAGATTAAGAAAGCGAAAAAGTGAACAGGGCCGACAAGGGCTGTAGAGCCATACATAAATAATTATTAAATTCTGTACCTCTTCCGAGTCAGTCATCCCGCATGTCAAGCGGGCTCGTTAATTTGTTAACTCCTGCAGGGACTTCCTGTGTGTGTTCATTGTACACTTCTACGGCCAAGGTCAGTAATTTCAAACATGAATGAGCTCATTACAGGTGCACCCCTCTATAAGCAAAACCGAGCAGGTTTCGCTGAAGTGTCTGGACTGGATTTGGGGGTTCCTTTCAGAGATCCAAGCGTTCTGAGATTTTTAATTTCGTATTCACTCCCTTCAGACAAACGCCAAGATCGCATTTTGAAATGGATTACAAAAGATTCTTCCAGAGTCTTTTCTAGTTCACCATTCATAATCATCCCCCCCATCTCTTTCAGAACTGCATTACAAACCAATTACCTAACGCCATGGAGGCGCTCGCTAGTCGCTCTGCCACTCAAGAATTTCCTTCCACTGCTCCCTATCCTGAGCAACATCAATCCAATCCATACAACCTCATCCCATGAGACCCATCCTAATATTATCCTCCATGTACGTCTACGTCTACCGAGTGCTCTCTTTGCTTCTGGTTTCTCCACCAAAACCCTATATGCATTCCTCTTCTCCCTATGCCTGTTAGATTCCCTGCCCACCTCATCCTCCTTAACTTGATCATTCTAATTACACTTGGAGACGAGTACACGTTATGAAGCTCCTCATTATGCAGTGTTCTCCAACCTCCTGTCACTTCATCTCTCTTCGGTCCAAATATTCTCCTCAGCACACAGTTCTCAAACACCTTCAGTCTATGTTCCTCCCTTAATGTCAGAGACCAAGTTTCACACCCACACAGAACCACAGGCAAGATTATAGTTTTGTATATTCTAATTTGCCGGTTACGGTAGCCGAGCGGCATATACTGTATTCGCTCGCTCTGAAACCGGGATCGTGGGTTCCAGTCCCACACAAA